AGTAATTTAAATACATCATATTTTCTCAATCAAAGCACCTTTAAAGAAAAAAATCGTGATAAACTAGAATTTTAAAATGGACAATATCTCATATGTGATAATTAACCCTAACGATGTTATCATAGTGGATATGAGGTCGAGATATTCTCATTCCTAGATGGAATATTGGTGTCCACCATGGGGTCAAAGATAAAGTATTGCTCCACTCCGAGCCCTTAATCCTTGACTAGAGGTTATGTTCCAGTACGCTCATGAAGATCACATCGCTTAGGAGTTGACACCAAGGATAATTTATATACACCCTCCTCTCTTAACTCACCAAGATGTCTTTTAAGGACAAAATTATGACGAACTAGAATTTCAAAGTGGACAATATCTCAAATATGATAATTGACCCTAATGATGTTATCATATTGGAAATGAGATCCAGATACTCTCATTCCTACACGAAATAGAGTTGTTCTTAGACTCATAAATAATCTTCGACATGTCCTTTGGACTCTTCATGCAAGCCTAGCCTTTTGTGCATTTTAACATGCTTCTTTGTTTTGCTGACACACTTCATGCATCACTTTCATGACTTGTAATATGGATGGGTTTTCATCTTCACTATTATGTTAGATGTATTTTTATGTCCTTTCATCTCCAATATTCTAAATTTTCATGTGTTTAAGGTAATCTCATCTCCACTCATACTCCAAATTTCTGATACGTAGTAATTAACCCTAACAATACTATTATAGTGGATACAAGTTTAAGATACTTTCATTCTTAGATGAAATATTGGTGTCTATCATGGGATTGAAGATAGAGTCTCGCTCCACTCTTAGCACTTAGTCCTTGATTGAGGTATGTTTTGGTACGTTCATGAAGATCACATCGCTTAGGAGTCGAAGCTAGAGATAAATTATATACACTCTCCTCTTTCAACTCACCGAGACACCTTTTAAGAATAAAATTGTAACGAACTAGAGTTCCAAAGTCAACAATATCTCAAATGTGATAATTGACCCTAATGATGCTATCATAGTAGACATAAAGTCGAAATACTCTCATTCCTACATGTAATAGAGTTGTTCCTAAACTCAAATAATCTTTGATGTCCTTTGGACTCTTCATGCAAGTCTAGCCTTTTGTTCCTTTTAACATGCTTCTTTGTTTTGCTGACACACTTCATGCATCACTTCTGTGACTTGTAATATTGATGGGTTTTCGTCTTCACTATTATGTTAGATGTATTTTCATGTCCTTTCATCTCCAATATTCTAAATTTTCATGTTTTTAAGGTAATCTCATCTCTACTCATACTCCAAATTTCTCATATGTAGTAATTAACCCTAACGATAATATTATAGTGGATATGAGGTCAAGATACTCTCATTCTTAGATGGAATATTGGTGTCTACCATGGGATCGAAGATAGAGTCTCACTCCACTCTTAGCCCTTAGTCCTTGACTAAGATATGTTTTGGTACGTTCATGAAGATCACATCGCTTAGGAGTCGAAGCCAGAAATAATTTATATACACTCTTCTCTCTCAACTCACCGAGACACCTTTTAAGAACAAAATTGTAACAAACTAGAGTTCCAAAGTCGATAATATCTCAAATATGATAATTAACCCTAATGATGTTATCATAGTAAACATGAGATCGAGATAATATCGTTTCTACATGAAATAGAGTTGTTCCTAGACTCGTAAATAATCTTTGATATGCCTTTTGGACTCTTCATGCAAGCCTAGCCTTTTGTTCCTTTTAACATGCTTCTTTGTTTTGCTGAGACACTTCATGCATCACTTTCATGACTTGTAATATCGATGGGTTTTCGTCCTCACTATTATGTTAGATGTATTTTCTTGTCCTTTCATCTCCAATATTCTAAATTTTCATGTGTTTAAGGTACTCTCATCTCCACTCATACTCCAAATTTCCAAATTACCTAGTCACACCATGGATGATAAAAGTTTCTACCTAAATTCCTTAATGTGATGATTGTGATACCCTAGAGCACTTAGTTATGAGTCATCTCTTTTAAGTACTTATTGTTTAAAATTCAACTCTTTAATTTTGTTCTTTTTCATATAACCAATTGGGTTAAGATTGTCCATTAATATTCTCATTTATTAAATATCGGATTCTCCTTTAATATTAGTCTAGGATCATCATATGATTCATGCAATAAAAATTAGTCATTAATCAACAACAAAGTATATTATAATACAAATTTACTATAATAAAAAAAGTAGTGTAACAAGTAAGAACACTTATAAGTGATAAATAAATAGTAAGAGGAAAACAAAACAAATTTAAATCTTGAGATATAAGAGGTAGAATGATAATTGTATACTATTTTCATATATTTATAATTGTCAAATGTATTATAAAATAAGTAATTAGTTATATTAATTATGATTGGTCAATTTGCTTGACCAACTAATCAAAAATTTAATTAATATGTTCTAAGTCTATAATACAATGTTGGCATGTTAAAAAAATGGAAGATAAATTAAAGAGTTTATCATAATTTCTCAGAGAAAAACAAACGATTTGAATTTGGTCAAATTGATTGAAAATACTATCCAACCTAACTTAGAAATGAGTTAATAAGTCGACGAGATATTTAAAAAAATTATTTATTTTATAAACTAATTTAAATAGTCAAATTTAATTAAAGAATATAAAATATTTTACTAATTTAATTTAATTTTTTAACACTAATCTTTATTAATATTTAAAGCATTTAATTTATATAATAAAATAACTACAATAATAAATGTATATTTTATTCTTTTAATAAATAAATTTAAAAAAAATACATAATAATAAAATTTAAAATTACATATTTTATATATCTCTTATAAAAAAAATATAAAAGAATGAGCTAACGGACAAACTATCTGACCTATTTCTTTAGACACGTCATCTATTAACGGATTGAGATACTTAATCTTATCGGTTCGGCTACAACTTTTTTACCCAAGATAAATATAATTATTTACTACTTCAAATTTTAAATTACAATATAATAAGATTATTACATCTCATTTTTATAGTTTTTTAATATTTGATGTTTATTTTAATAGTATAAAATGAATAATTAGTTGTATTAACTATGACTAGTCAATTAAATAGAGTAAAGTAGTGAAGAATTTAATTTTTATGTATGAAGCGATAGGTTCCAATTTAGTGTTACCATTCAAAAATCTATGACAGGTCATTATGTAAAAAAAAACGGAAAGATGAGTATAACTCATTAAAATTTTAAAATTTGTAACTGTTTTAAATATTTTATAATAAATATGAATATTATTAATATAAAATGAGGAATTAGTTTTATTTTAATGAAAAGACATTAAATAATTATAGATTATAATATCAATTAAGGGAAGGGTGAAAGTTGAATGGTCAGTTACAAGTGCTTTCTTTATTTCCACCACCCTGTACACCAACTCTATCTTCGCATGACTTCAACACTGCCCTTCATGGTTTCAAAGCATCCTCAAGAGGAAAAAAAATATATTGTTACAGATTTGACTATGAATCAGATTACTTACCCCACTTTTAAGACCAATAAGAATTTATTACTCTAATTTAAGATTATTTTCTTCATACCAGATAATAATAATGCATTGTCCCAGAGGGTCTTGGCCATTCTGATATGTCTTATAATAAATAAATGATCATCAAGCATATATAAAAAACAAATTATTTGGTGCTTTCTTACATTGATTTCTCCTTGCTTTCAGTAGAAGGTGGAACCCCTTTATTCATTAAAACATCATTTAAGAGAGTTGTTTAATGTTAATTTTAATAATTTGTTATCAAACTAATTATTAAACAATGTATTATTTGAAGGAATTAGTTAAAGAAAAAGTCTATATACTGGTACTATCCATAAAAAAAGTATCTTTTACTCAGAAAATTTTATATATTTTACATTAAATACTTATTTTATCGATTCTAGTATTAAAATGTTTTTTTATGTAACATTCTTAAATTTATGTGGTATAATAATAATAATAATAAAAAGAAAAAGATAAGTGCGAAAAAAATTATTATAAAAATTAGATATTTCCATTAAATTGACACTTTTAAAATTATTTATTATTTATAACATATTAAATATTATAATAAAAAGTTAAATAAAAAATTCATGAGTTTTAAAATAAAAATTAAGATAAAATTAAATAAATTTGAAATTAAGTAAGCCTTATTTATTTTTAAATAAATTTTATCTAATAAAATTAGAAACAATAAACAATATTTTAAGTAATCATTCATCCATATAAATCTAAAATTTTGTAAGATAAGATTTTATAAATGCATAACTCTCTTGTGGTTTAAGAATCAATCTCTCTCAATTCATTATCTTTTAACAATACAAATAAATTAAAATTTCAAAATAAATAATATATCAAACATGATTAATCACAATGATATTAGAGACAGACTTAATATTCTAAACAGAATATTTACCCACCACCTAATTCCTTTTGATACTTTTAGGAGATCTAAATTGTTTTTATTGTCCACATTAGATCCAGGTCATGCAATCTTCAAAAGTAAAAGAAAAACAAAACAATTTAAAGTTGATGAAAACAATGCAATTCCTGGAGATCTTTATTTGCCAGAGTAGCAGAGTTTTTCAACATTTGTCCTAAGTCATCCCCAAACACAGAACTCTGTAACAAACTCATCATTTCCTTTTTCCTTTTCTGTTTATAAATATTACTGAAAATGAAAAGAAATGAATAAAAAACAATTTTCTCAGTTGTTTACCCTAGAGTGGAAGCTGAACAGTCACAAAATCAATAAATCTGGGCCCTTGGATGATGCTATTACAATGGCCACGTGTCTCATGAATCTCCCTCATTTATACTTGATTTTATAAGAACCTAGGACTCCACACCTTTCTTCACACACACACTCACAGCTGAGACTATATTTCTTATACACACCATCACCAAATTTCTGTAATATTCTCCCTCTGATTTTGCATGGAGTTTGGTCCAAGCTTCCCTGAGAAAATTCCCTACCTTTCTGGGATTTTCCCAGAAATCAAATCAGAGATCCCTGTGTCAGAAGAGAACACCAGCTTCATGTACCAAAACAATTTCACCTATTTTCAGCAACACCATTTCCTGAATGAGCCAAACCATGGTCACCCTGAAAGTTTTTTCCCAGAGGGTTCTCCCTCCATCACCACCCCATTTTTCTCTTTGTCCTCAGCAACTCCTTCCTCAGGTGGTACATCTTCCTACAAACCCACTTATCCCAATGCGTCCCTCAAAGGAGGCTTTGTCAACCCCTACTATCCCATGTCATATGCACCAAACAGCACTAATGTTGAATCCATGCATGGTCACCCCAACAAGGTCATCTGGGACTTTTCCCAGAAAGCTCCACTTCACTCTGGTGCAAGTGCAACTTCAGATCCTCAGGTGTACCTCTCTGTCACCATCATTTTCTTTCATGCATCATGGAACTGTAAATATCAATGCTAACAAAGCTGTTTTGTTGTTAACATAAGCAGGTGCAGAAGAAGTGTAATGGCCAAATTCAGCACAGGATGACCAACATAATCAAAGGCCAGTGGAGTGCTGAAGAGGACAGGTATATATATACACCTAGTTGTTCCCAATTCCATGTTTTTTCTTTTCCACTTTACATTTTTCTATGTGCTATTAAATTATTTGCAGTTTCTTGTGAGGCTTTTAATTTCCCCATTGATTTGGCTCCTCTCTTTAGTGAGGTTTATTATTTTATTTTTTTTCATTATTCATCTGTTTTGTTTTGACAAATGTTAGACACTTTATTATGTGGTTTCATTTGAAACTTTTAATGAAAAATTTTCTCATTGATTTAGCTTCTGTCTTTAGTCACCTTTGTTAATGTCTTTTTTTTTTTTTCTTTATTATTATTATTATTATTTATTATTCATCTATTTTGACAAATGGTGAACAATTTAATACGTGGTGATGTAGTGTCCTTGTCCAATTGGTGAAACGTTTCGGGATCAAAAAATGGTCTCAGATAGCTAGGTTGCTGAATGGCAGGGTTGGAAAACAGTGCAGAGAAAGGTGGCATAATCATCTCCGGCCAAACATTAGGGTTACTTCCTTTTCAATACTGTCTTTACGTTCTTCAATACTGTCTTTACGTTTTCTCTCTCTTACGCATACATAACAACACACAACACCATCTGTCTGTTTATTTGCTTGCTTTAAAATACATCAAATGGTTCATCTAAACAAGATTTATTCAATATTTTATACAATATAGAAATTAATAATATCATGTCTAAATATTTAATGAACACTTCTGTTCATATTTTAATATAAAGTTTTCCTAAGTTGAAATGAATTATTAGAGGGAATTGTTGTCATCAACTATGGAGTTATTCAAGAAGATTTTACCAAGTGACCACATTAATTTCTCAAGTATTTTAGGATTTTCAATTTTACTTCAACTATAAATATTAAATTAAATTCATAAATGTAATTAAATTATTATGTTTTTATAATTTTATTACATGAAAAATGTGTAACTGATTTTTTTTTCACATATGTTATTATATTTGAGAAAGGAATATTAGAGATAACATTCCTTTTATCTCCATTATAACTAACTCCCGAAATCTATGAGCATTTCCAGGCATTTGTTTGTACTTTCTAAGAGTGAAAGTCTTTTAAATATTCATGAAAGCACATTTAAAATTTTTATAACAGTTAAAAATATTTTTTCAATTATAAAAGTTTTAAAAATGTTATGTTTATTTACAAATTAAAATAAATTTTTTAAATTATATATTATTAAAGTATATTTTGAAAAAATTATCTTAAATGCTGTAAAATATATCTTAAATAGCAAAGTTACAGTTTACAGAAAAAAATTTTGTTATATCACAATTCCACACAGTAAATAAATTCCTGACTATTTGAATATATATATATATATATATATATATATTGTATTTTTTACTTGAAATTATTTATAAGTTTACAAAATATTTATTAGGTGTATGGATCCAAACAAGTTAAAATGTAAAACTTGGATAAATAAATTGTATAATCACTATACTTGTTATAATTTACTTTTAGTGTAACTATTGCGACTTAATTTGAAAACATATAATTATTTATTGAGAGAATAATTTTTTTAAGCATAATTAATAAGATATTTTTTTCTAATATAACTAAACATTTAAATACCAAATTTAATAAATTTATTTATTACATGAAATTGGCCTCCTTAATAACAAATCCTTGTTCCTACCTACATATGAATTTCAAAATGTCAATTTTTTTTTCTTGTTTTCTTGCTTACAGCAACAAAATGTCACAATTAACTATCATATAATTTTTTATACATTCTAATTCTATAGTTTTCGAAATTCGGGTTTTCAAATAGAAAGTACAATCTATATTCTTTATTTGTTTACACTGTTTTCATTGTGTCATTTTATTCATCCACCCAAAGCAGGAAGACTATTATCATTCATTGTCATTCATTATAACAATTCGAATGGATGCATATATAATATATATTATTAGAACCATATTCTGAAGGAGGGTGAAAGTTGAGATCTTTGTATCAATGCAGAAGGAATCATGGAGCGAAGAGGAGGACAAAATCCTGATCGAAGCTCACAGGGAACTCGGAAACAAATGGGCAGAGATTGCAAGGAGAATGCCTGGCAGGACTGAAAACACCATCAAGAACCACTGGAACGCCACAAAGCGGCGCCAGAAGGCCAAAAGACAGAGGAACAAGCGCAGGGGCACCAAGGGTGCACCCACGCTTCTGGAGAGCTACATAAAGAAAGTCACTGCAGCGGAAGAGGCTGAGAAGGAGTTGAAGAACTCTATGAGCAAGATGAACCTGAACGGCACCACCACCAATTCGGGTCTCTTTCGGGTTAGGTATGAGAGCTCAGAGGGTGACTTCAGCTCGGAGGATGACGAGGTTGGATGGGACCTGCAGCACCACGTGCCATGTGGTGGTGGTGGCGGCGGCTATGTGCCACTGATGGTGAACTCTGGCGAAGAGAGCACGATTGATTACGAGGTTGCCATGCAGATGGAGCCGGAGGTTCAGCTGAGGAAAGAGATGGATCTGATGGAGATGATCTACAGAAAAGGTTAAGGTGTCATGAGCACATTATTTGTGTTCCTTGGAATAGTTTCTTCTTTACTTTATCTCTTTACATCATTGAAACTGTGGTTATTGGTTCCGTTGGTTGCATGCATGCCGAGGATATTTTAGTTCGTTTGTTTTGTCTTGTGATTGTTGGTTCATGGGATGTTTGTTTGCTTTTGTTTCGGCTGGAACTAAAGCTTACATGTTTTGGGTTTGCATGGATAACCTGTGCGAACTGTCCTATTCATTACCGGTGGCTCATTTCCCTGTACTCATTTCAACTGTTCAATACTTGGAACCCAGAAAGAAAGAGTTGCAAATACATCTTCTTATTTTTTTATTTTTTTTATAAATTGGTTTCTAAAAGAAGTTTATACTGATTTGTAATTAAATTTTTATTAAAAATTTATTATATTAGAAAAAAAATACTGATATTTTGATACACAAAAAATTATAATATTCTTTATACAACCATATTTATTAATATTATATTCATAAAATCATTCATTATACAACCATATTATTAATATTATATTACTAAAATTAATTTTATTAATAAATGAAATTGTTGAATTGAATATTTGTTGACCGTGTTATGTCAATCTATCTTTTCCATCAGGGAAATTGTTTTCGAAATAATGCAATATTTGAAAAAAATAAAAATTAGAGATACTTCTCCAGTTCAGTTTTCATCTTGTTCAACATATTTTCTCAATCCCAAACACTGCTTTGTGTCTCGTATTCTTCCACACTAATTGAAGGGAGGTAATATTTTCTTCCAATCCAACAAAACTAAACAAAAAAAAAACTTCAAATTTATCATGAAATAAAAGGATAAACAGTCTCACTTTTTTCAATATTTTGTTTTAAGGAAAACAAAAATATTTGATTTTTCAGAATCTTAAACAAATAATGAATAATTTAATGTTTAAACATTAATAGGGTATAAAAAACTCTCCTTATCTTCAATTTTACCAATTGCATCATATTAACTCTATCATTTTGCCATGTGCACCCAGATAATCTGCAAGGGACATGTTATAGGAAATCTCAATCCCAGGAACCCTGAATAGCCAATTTCTTAATTGATTTCACCAAACACTAAATGTCATTTCAATCATAGAAACCCCTTTCTCTCCCATAAGATCTATTCTTGCCAGAAACAGCCTTCGATCAATAAAATTATATTTTCCCAAACATTGACAGAGACAGGTCCACCCTCATCTTTAACACAATCTCAACGCTCATCCATGTTGAAATTTCATGAGAAAAAAAGGAAAGAAAAGATGTTCATAAGGGCAGTTGAAAAGAGAAGCGTTTCATAGCGCGTTAGGAGAAAGAAACTTTGCAGTAACCAGTGAAGGAGAGGAGAATAAAACTAAATGAGACTTTCGACGGTGACCAGACACACGTGAGTAAGTAATCATATGAGCATGGATTGCAATTTTAAAAATACTTACCCTTGTATATCTAATAAAATATATTGGATTAAAATTCTGATCCATTTAATTATATAAAAATAAATTTAAATTTAAATTATAATAAATTCTACTTATTTACTTATTTAATTAAAAAAAATTGATCTGATTTCATTCAATCCCATCTCACTTACCTTAACATGATTTGATTTGATCAATTTGATCTAGCTTAATCTATTAGCTTAATCTAGTAGACTTAATTTGATTTTATCTAATTTGACCTATCCTAATATGACTGATGTCACTTGGTTTGAGTCTATTTAAATTGATATGATATGATTAACTTAACTCAATTTAGCTTAATATGAACTAACTCAGTTCGATTGAAACTTGATTTTATATATTTAAAATAAAAAAATATATATTCAATCCAAATCTAATAAATTGAATTGTATTTAAAATCTAAAATATATGAATGTAGATTTGAAGTGAATGTATTAAAATAAATTTAAAATCATTTAAATCTAATTAGAAATATCAAAATAAATTTAAAATAAAAGTATGACAGCCAATAAATTTGTAGTATAAATGAAATTAGCCAAATTTTGATTTGTCCTTTTAGTCTAAGGCTTAAACAAGCTCAGATTAGACTAATCTATAGATTTATGGACAATTGCTTGGGAGGTGAAGGCACCCTTATAATTTCTCTTTGCACCTCCATATCTTAAGTAAAATAACTAAAATACCTTTTCAATAATTTTTGTTTCAAATCCTATCCCCTTCTTTTATTTTCTTCTGAAAGTTTTGCACCTCTATAGATGTGCATATTTGTTTTATTGTGTTATCCATTCAAGATCTTTTCCACGTTAAGACCCAAATTGTTTGAACCAGAACATTTTTTTGAAAATCAGATTGAGTTTTAGAATACCCAATCCGAATTATATTTTTAGATTGACTTTTCCATTAATGTATTCCAAAACACTCATTCCAAAATACATTTATGGAAAAGTCAATCCAAAAATGCATCCTAGATTGTGTGTTTCTGGAAAAGTTAATCTAAAAATACATTCCGAAAAAAATTATCCAGAAACATGTTCTAGAAAGTGGGTTTCAGAATATATTTCCAGAATTGCTTTTCTGAAAATGCATTTCGGATTGGTGGGTCCGGAATACAATTACGAATTGCACATTCCGGAAGTGTATTCCCGACCCACCAATCCAGAATGCATTTTAAAAAAATCAATTCTGGGAATATATTTTGAAACCCATTTTCCAAAACATGTTTCTAAATTTTTTTTTTTTTTTTGAAATGTATTTCCAATCTCTAGATTTATATTCCCTATCCTTGAACGTGTGTTTCCAGCCAAAAATCTTATTGCACGAATACTGTACTGTACGTGGTCAAAATTAATACAAATTAAAAACAGTTAGAGATTCTAATTACCTATTTCTTACCATTATTAGAATAATAATAGAAGAAAGAAGGAAAATACTTTTAGTAGGATTTAAAAATCAGACATTTAAAGGCTTAAAAACTATAAATAAGCACTTAAGAAGATGAAGATAGGTTTAAGGGTAACATAGAATTTAATTTAATTATGGAGGTGCAGAAAGAAAATATCTATAATTTTGGTCCCTCAATCTTAATAATCATTAAATATACCTATTTGTATATTTATAATTTGGTCTCATACATTTTTTATATTCTTTCACATTTTTTATATTCATTTATTATTTATTAATAATATATTAGTTGGTCTTCTAAAATTATTAGTCATGATCCGTCATTGCTTATGAGTTAGCTTATTTTATAAAATAATATCATTTTATTATATATATATATATATATATATATATATTATAAATTAATTTAAAGACAAATTCACTTATTTTAAAAATAATTGTAAGCATAAGTCATTAACATCTCATATTCCATAGATTTAATGGTTAAATAAATTACCATTTGAGATCATATGAGAGGAAAGAGTAACTCTTATTTTTGGAGCGAGTGAATCACTTCTCCTCTAATTTATATTTTAAACTATTATATCTAAAATAAAAAACAGTTATATTAGTATAATTTAAATTTTAAATATATATAAATATATATTATTTATTTATTTATTAAAGTAATTGTTTTTATACATATAATTTTTTTATTTACTAAATTTGACTTATTAGGCAATTGAACTAATACAAGGTTAAACAAGACAAAAATATTTATGATTCATTTTAAAATATAGATTAAATCAAGTTATTAATTTTGGCATATTTTCCTTACACCTCCATACTTTCTCCCTTGCAGACCATATTTATTTGAAAAGAAAGACAATAACATCCTTGCTAGTTTTATGAAACTAGTTATCCATAAGCATATTTTAGAGTATTTCAAAATGTAAAATCCATACAATTTCAAAATAGATGATCCATAATGAACTATTAACATAGAACGTCTATATATTTCAAATGTAAATTGACATAGAAAGTTCACATATTTTTTTCATTTTTTATCTTATAGAAGACTTTTTATTTCAATTCAAATTTGAACCATGATAGTTTCTACCATGGTTCAAATTAAATTGAAATAAAAAGTCTTTTATAAGATAAATATACAAATATATGTTATGTTTTCATTTAACTTATTTTGTAAGTGCAATGTTTTTCTTTCTGGGACACTTTAAATCTATATCTTTTTCATCATAATACTTTGTTTCTTATTCTTCCTCATGATTCATATTCTTTGTACTACCATATGGCATCTTTTATATTTGTTTCTCCTTGAGTTCACTTCCTTTTGAGTTCATTTTAATATCTTTTGCCTATTTGAAATATGCATGATTATTTTAGTTTATTGTTTTCTTTATTTTATTGTTTGCTACATGACAAATTTTGATGCAAGAAAGGTGCTTGATAAAATGTTGGTGACAAATTGCATTATATAAAAACATTTCACGCAAAACTTTCTATAACGATTTTATTTAGAGTCATCATAAAAAGTCATACATATTAATTATGTGAGTTATTTTACAATCGATATATAAACTTACAATTTTTATATCAGTTGAGAAATCAATATATACAACCCAAAACAATTGTTAGAGAGAGTCTTTTCTAGGGTAGTACTTGGAAATAAAGTCCAATGACAATAATTCCAAGAACATAATCTAAAAATATTTAAAAAATAATAAAATAATACTACAAATAGAAAAACTTTAGCCTATGATCAGCTGGAAACCTAGCCTCAAATATCATTCTTAGACTACCATTCATCCTTAACCACATAAAACGAAAATAATAGAACAAAAAAAAAAGTCACACCGAAAAGAAAAGGAAAATCCAGTACAATCACACTAATCACTAAACATGATTTTAAAAAAGAAAATGACATACATGGTCATTAAAACCCTAATCTCACACCACTTATTTTGTTTCTTGACAGTTAAGAATCTAAATATAAGTTGAAATGTCACAATGAGTAGAAATGATAAAGTTAAATAACTTATAAGTGAAAAAGACCCAAAACCTAATGTCTTCAAGTTTTAGATTTAAGGTGATGTCATATTCTTTTATGGTTGACTCATGTCCCAT